CCCAAGCCTCCTTGCTCGAGAGTTCAATCCACTAGAAATCTCTTGCTTACGGGTGCAAGATTAAACCGGAACAAACTCTTGCTTGCGGGTGCAAGATTAAACCCTCACAAGTGAATCTCAACTCACTCAACCCCTTCAAAGATTATCCCAATCCAAGAAGAATACAAAAACCTTGTAAGACAATATACCCAAAAGCTCACAAGAAGAGAAGAAGGAAACCCAAAACTGTTTCAAACTCTGTTTTCAAAAACGCTATAGCAGTTCTACCTTCTTCCACTTTTTCAGATCTAATTTTTGGTGTTTTAATAATTGGTTGGGAGCCTTACCATTAATTGCCCATTTAGACCTTCAAAGCCACCTCACAATTGCCCCAATGGTTCCACCTTATTCTTCTGACTTGTCTTGAAAAGTGCTAAGACATTTAGATACCCTATGACCCATTAAGAATAAATAGATAGTTGAGCTGTCAAAATTTAACCTTCCAGAATTTTTGCTTCGAAGCCAGAAATATTGCTTCGAACCATTTTTGGAAAACAAAAGTCCGAGATTGATTTGAACCAAAATAAATTGGTTCGAACCCAGAACTCTGAACAAGGAGAACATGAATTAATTCTAATCGTGGGGAAAGATTAGAAACCTTGGATTAATTTTCCTGCACACTTAACACAAAAATAGATTAAATTCTTTTGAATCATGGTTTTAAACCATCATCAAAAAACAAAGAGAACCTAACACAAAAATGTCCCCCAAAAATGAAGGGAAATGGGGAGCTTTTCCATGTGCGAGCATGAGGAAATTGGGGCCCGATCATCAAACCACTCTCCCCTCAAGAACATGCAATTGAGGAATAGGTTGTTGTTTGTTTTTGTTGATAAACCCTAAGAATTAAAAGGCCAATGAGCATTGTTTTTACATGAATATTCCCCCCAAAAGGTAGTGGGTTTAATTTAAATTTGATTTCTTGACTTTTAACTCTGAGTTTTGTTTTAATTACTTGGGTCTTAAGATTTTTTTTTTTTAGTCTTCATAAATCCCAACATTTCTATCAACCAAGATTATGGCAGCTTAGGCTGATCAAAGACAAACCATAATTCTTAATTAGAAGGTTAAACAATTGTCATTAAATATTGTTATGATTTGACGCATAATTTTAGAAAGTCGTAAAGAATTGAATTAGAATAAGTTGTAAACCCGAACATTTCTTGATTAAATTAACTTGACTTAATTCACAAAATAATAAAATTTATGTAACATAGACTTGGATGTTTAAGGTTTGTTATAAGGGAAAATGGAGTTCTTTAGAAGAAGAGTTCAGCACAAAACTTCTAAATTAAAGGTTAAAGTTAATTGAAAGTGTTATAAACATGAGCAGTGGTAGAGGTTTCCAACTTCCAGTTCTTGCATATGCCATGCTCTACCTTCAAGTTACGTGAGTGTAATAGCTGCAAATTGTTAATTATTTTATACAAGTTGATTAATTAGTTTGAGATCCATTCTTTGCAATTAAATAACTTTTGATATATTAAATAAGAAATGAACATTGTTTTTTATTTTATTTTTTTAAAATTATTGTTTACATGTGATAGATTATACAGAAAGTTTTTTTTTTTTTTCTGATGGATTATAATATATGATTAAAGTTAAGGAACTCCTTTCCGGAATTTATATGCATTTCAAAATATTTATGTTTGTTAAATTTTAGAAGGAATACAGTGCATGGACGTGTGATTTTTAATTGAGGAAGTGGGAAAAAGAAATTGAAGAGAATGAGATTCAAAGTTAAAGATAATTTATATATTCCTCCATTGATTATGATAAAATTTAACTTTTAAAATAAAAAAAAAAAGAAGATATTACTCCTCCAATAGTGGAATTATTCAAGAAAAAAGAAAATTGTGGGTTTTTCTTGCCAACCAAGTGTCAGCGGAAAGACCTGGAGGGTTCAATGGAAATATAAATGGAAAATGGGAGAGAGGAGAAGTCTTCTGGGAATCTTTGGGAAGGGTCAAGTTTTAGTTCTGTTATCTCTGTTTCTCCACACAACATTTTACTGAAAATGCTCGTTAGTTTACAGAAACATATACAAATAGTTACATGGTATTTATGGCAACTTGAATTTGAAATTTTTCGAGATTTCAACATGTTTTTTTAACTACTGACAATGTGTTGGCACAAAGTCAAGAATTAACAACAAATTGGGGAGTAGCTTTTTTTTTTTTTCCACTCTGATAAAGAATAGGTTCAAATATCATGTATGTTGAATGCCAATCTTGGACTTAGGCGATACAAGAGTTTCCAGCATATCTAGGTGAAGAAAGGCAGAGAATGAAATCTTTGAAAAAAGGGATGAGGATCAAGCAATTGCCCCTCAAGTATATGTAGTTTCAGCTGGTATGAAGTCAAACATGAATGAAAAGGCTGATATCTTTATCACTTCAGCTTAAGTTTGAAATCTTCATGGATTTCTCAGTCCTAAACGCCTAATACCAATTGGTTTGTTCGGTAACCATCCATCATTAATCATATCATCAGAAGGCAAGCTTGGATAGGTTGTCAATGTGCCAAGTCTACAAGACATTGCATCCAACAGCTTTCTCATGTCAGAGCCACTTCAAGCACATTGTATTGGACAAGAACCTGTTACTCAAATCATAAAATCTCCATTTCAGTAATATTTCCATAAAAGAGCAAATGTTCTAATAAATGACACAAAAAGAGAAGCAGAAAGAAGAGCAAATGTTAAATCCATTTGGATAATAATCAGGTCATAGGATTTGGGATTTTCACGTTCATGCTGCAGAAATGACCTTCTAAGATGGTTCTAATAGTTTTTGCTTCATAGATTATATCAGTTAGCAAAGAAAAAATAACAGAGCAGTATTGAATTTAATGATCTATCAGGGCACAATATTTTACTTTTGACACATCCACCCATCATCAATAAGCCAAAACAAATAGCGACGCTATCAAAATTAACAGCAGATGATTAACCTCTAGCTCATAAAAATCCATACTTATATGATAAACTAAACAGACAATGGCATCTTAGTTTACCAATTTGCATCTAACATGCTCAACGCAGCCAATTATTTTCCATTTTGGTTGATATGCAACCTTTTTTTTATTTTTTGGGCCAGAAGTGGATATGTGACCTTAATTGGTGCAAATTAAAGTAAAAGCTTTTGTCAATTGGTATGGGCTGGCATAAATTCACAACACAAGTACCAATTGCACCGTTTTTAGCAATTTATAATTCACAGGAGACTCTACAAAAGCTGAAGTTTATGCATGGGGTGGGGTAGGTAATTGTTCAAAAAGAATAAAGAAAAGCACCATTCAGTTGAAGGGAGAGGTAGCTCCATTTCACATGAGGCTGGTGCTTATGTAGATGAAAACACATAACCGAAATTACGTGTAAAACCCAACTAATACGTGATAAAGTTGAATGAAGTTGAATACAATGTATCATAGAATGAAATATGAATACATGTTATTCACATTGAAAAATAAAGGCCTAATGCATATATGCAAGATCTTGAATGAATTGACCACATAGATGAGAATCAGATGTGAAAACTTCACAATAAAATTTTGCAACTTCCAGACAGTAAGCATATCTCACAACTTACCTTTCCTCAAGAATCCACCTATTTATAATTGAATCCAAAAAGGCTTTTGCACAACCCTTCTTTTATGATGCCTTTTCTTGAAATGAGGATGTAGGCACTGCATATGGCAAAATTCTATTTTCATTTAACTAAAAATTAAAAGGTAAATTGATCTTTGTAGTGCCAGAACAATGCCAACCTAGATTGAAATTAGCATCAAGGGTCCAGGATATGTAGATACCAATTGTGTAAGGGAAATTGAAGCATTTGCAAAAATGACATGTTTGCAATACAGTTCAAGTCATCCATCATCAGATCGAAACTAAAGCATTTCATCAAATAGCAGAGGGTAGGTTAAAGCCTTATATCTTACTTAAAGCCAGCTCTTTTACACAAAACTCAACACACAAAACCAGAACCAGCTGTAGGGTAGTTAAATAGCATGACCATGTCAAGAAACTATCTTTATAATGTAATAGAAAAATGGAAAAATGAAGATCAAGAAAATGTACATTAACTCAATCAGAAGAATTCTTGAGTGAATTAGAACTAGTCTAAGGAGTTTGATCCCATCCTGTCATATTTTCAATCCCAAATGGTTTCATAAATCAAGATTTCATTTTGTGAGCCATACAAGAAATGTGCTGCTAACCAAGAATTTAGTAAATAAAATGCAATAGCTAGTAAGTTGGACTATCTCACAGCTTTGAAACAGTTTCACTCATTAAGGAACAGAAACTGCATATATATTAGATGAATCAGGTAAAATGGAAGGAAGGAAAAAGGATTACCACTTCTAACATTTATTTCCCAAGAGTGGCAATGTTGTGTCCCTTTAATACTTGATTCTGATCAGGTATTGGTTCTGGCATCTATGCACAAAATGGAAATATTAGATACTATTCTAATTGTGACAACAGCAACAGCAAAACCATAACTAAAACATTTATATTCAATCAAAAAAATGATCATCTGAGGAATTAAAACCTATAGCAAAAGATTGAAGATGTTGCCTGATTCTTACATGACACAATTTCTTGTGTTATATTAAAAGAAAAACCATAACTTCAGTAAGGAAAAAATGAGAAAAAAAAAAAAACCTTCATCTGCATTTTTTTCATTTCCCTCCTATGAAAGTATAAACAGAACAAATACTATGCCAAATTGCAAGGGATAAGAAACTGTCATTGTAACAAGAAGGAACTAGATGATTGTAAGAAAAAGAACATACCCCAGAAAATTTTTAAGTGAGGTTAAGATCAGCATACTCAAGAGCCACCAGATCAGTGCTCCTAAGCTTCTTATTAGCATCAATGGTGGCAAAAGCATAATCAGAAGCAAATATCATGGTTGGCTACTTGGCTGTGATGATGAAGAGGAGTAAAACTGTGAAATGTTATCAGTGAAGGAGCTGGTTTTGTAGCTTTAAGGACTACACAAGGGTAGTAGCGGTAGGCCAGGCACAGTGAAGAAGCCATTTCAATGGCTATTGCCATTCCCACCATTTCAGCAACTATTTATATGTTGAGTAGTCAATGAGTCTTCACAAAATACATGGATGACAACTTTCTAATCTCCAGAAAACCAACTTCTTCTTTTCCATTGACAGAAATGTTAAACTTCAAAAATACTAAAGATCTCCCTCTTATGCTTTAGGCTACAAAAGAAAAAATAATCCTTATTAGTTTTCTTAATTTTTTCTTGGCCATTTTTAAACTATTATTTAATATCCAAGATCTAAGGAAAAATAACCTAAACCAAAACATACAAGGAACTGATTACATTAACAAAATTATAAAAGGAAAAAAAAGAGAAAAAAATACACTAAAACCAGCCTTACCTTTTATTTAGACTTGAATTCATTTAATTGTCATCTTATTTTGAAGCTAAAATGAAAGAAGAGATTGACTAGATTAGCCAATTTCTATGTTTCCAACAACATGGTGAAAATAAATTTGATTGCCAAGAAAATCCTAGTCTTGAAATTTGACGTTCATAAAAAGAGAAAGGAACTGCTGTGAATCAAATATATATACATCTATATAAACTGTGAATGATTATGCTTATGATGGAGTATGTTTTATAAGAAATACCATGAACAAAGTTTTTGTTTTGTCTATGAACTTGTGTCGCTCTCAAAATCCTAAAAAGAATGAATAAGATTAAGTTAGAAAAGTTTAAGTTCCTAAATTAATTCTCGAAAAAAAACTTAAATTTTCTACATATTTGAGAAAAGCTAAGTTTTACCTCAACTTCAATGCAGGGGATGTGAGCAATGAGGGGCCAATAGTCTCCTTTCTCCTCCATGCATCGTCGTTGCAGCAGCGAGCAGTATGTAATATGGAGTAGTTTAAGCGAGGGAGGCAGGCCTTCCTTCGGCAAGGACCGGAAGTTGTCACAATGCCCAATGAATAAACGTTGAAGCGAGGGAGGCAAGACTTTATTTGGCAAGGACTGGAAGTTGTTGCATTCCCAAATAATTAACACTTGAAGGTAGGCAGGCAGGGCTTCCTTTGGCAGCGTCTGCAGCTTTGGCCAATCCCTAATTGTTAAACGTTGAAGAGAGTTGAGGTTTTGGAGGAGCCCTCTAGATATGGATTTCATATTTTCAACTTTACGCACCACAAGACTGGTTAGAGAAGTGGGAAGCACATTATCTGGAGGACATATCCACCAAATCTCAAAAGTTAGAAGCGAAGTGATGCTGCTGAGGCCCCATTCTTGCATCGGCTTCTTCAGATTCTCGCAATCAATTATCAGTTCTCCAAGGTTTGGGGCAGAACCACAGTATGGAATGGACTCAATTCTTGGGCAATCGCGAATTGTAAGAAATGTTAGGTTCGGAGGCAAACCAGGGTCTGAAATGGACTCAATTCTTGGGCAATTGCTAATTACAAGAGAAGTTAGGTTCGGAGGCAAACCACCATCTGATATGGACTCAATTCTTGGACAATCTGTTATATATAATTTATCGAGAGAATTGAGGACCTGCAGCTTATCAGGTAAGGACTTGAGATTCTTGCAACCAAATATATGAAGATCTCTGAGGTTTGGAGGAAAACCAAAGTCTGGAATGGACTCAATCCCTGGGCAATCAGAAATTCTAAGACATTTTAGGTTCGGAGGCAAACCACCGTCTGGTATAGACTCAATTCCTGGACAATTGCTTATACATAATTCATCGAGAGAGTTGAGGTCTTGCAGCTTATCAGGTAAGGACTTGAGATTCTTGAAACTCTTTATGATTAACCTTTTAAGATTGGGGATAAACGGGCAGAACAACTCCAAACCATCTAAAGCATCTAACTTATCTATCCCTGAACAATTGTGGGTATAACGTCTCTTATATTTTGAATGATCACCTGTGTGAATATTATTACCATCGATATAAATCTCTTCAAGTTCCCTATAATACTGCAGCATTCTTTGAGGGATAAATTCCAATTGCTTGCAATCACGGACAAAAAGGTGTTTAAAAGAATTGGGTAGGTGGCCAATTGGAAAAGATTTCAGACAAGGACATCTGTCAATCCTTAATTCTTCAAGATGGGACACTTGACATGCATCACCATTATTCATCAATATTCCTTCTGGTAAAGATTCTAGCTTTTCACATTCTTTAATTTCCACGATTTTAAGCGTGGTGGGTAACTTGCCTCTTGGAAACATTTTGAGAGCAGGACATCTACTTATATATAAGTATTCAAGTCGCACCATCATCATTATCTCAATAGGCAAGGACTCCAGTGCTTCACAATCATATATGTGCAAAGTTTGAACACTGTTGGGGAGAAAACCTTGTTTTTTTCCCTGTCAGTGATACAAGCAGAGGGCACCTGCTGATCCGCATCCTCTTAAGAAATGCAAGGTTTACCATATTGGCTCCTTCCTCCCACAAACAAGTGAGTTCATCACAACTTTCAATCTCCATAACCTCAAGTGCTCTCAAGGACTCTACAAAACTCTTGGGCAACCAAATCAACTTAGAAATTCTGCTGATTCTCAATGTTTTGAGTGAGTTGAGGTCAACCGTACTCCTCAAGACAGCCTCACTACATCCTTTAACACACAACTCTTCAAGTGATGGAAGACTTATTGGTGAATATATTAACTCTGGGCATTCGGCAATCTCTAGCTTTTTAAGTACAAGAATGCATTTTGGAAATTTTCCTTTTAGTATAAGGCAGTCTCGCAATTTCAAACTCTCCAATGACGGAAAAGACAAAGCTGAAGAAGAATTGTCCTCGTCAAGCATCATAGTTTGTATTGCATGTATGCCTGCCAACAAAAAAAAAAAAAAGCAAAATCAATGGAAAAAAAAAAAACATAAAAACAAGCAACGTTAACTAAAGAATCAAGAGAATTTGCTTCTATGCCTGTAATGATCAATTCTTTGAGTCGTGGTAATTGCTGGAGTGACGGTAATGAAGTGCTTTTTTGACAATTGTTGAGCTTCAAGAACTCCAAGTTGGAAAATGATGGATCACCTATCCAAGGTGGGAATTCCAACCCACCAAAACAATTGATTGTCAATCTTTTCAAACCATGATAAGGCTTTAACCAGCTGAGAACTTGCAATTCAGATCTTTCATTTCGGTTGTTAAGGAAATCAGAAGACCATTCTAAGGATAAATCATTTAATCCCTCAATCTCAAACAAATTCACCTCCTTTGCTTCATTTGCAGCCACAACATTTTGTAAATCCAAAATGGAAAGCTGGCCTTGAAGACTTGACAAGTTCTTCAAATCTTTCACTCTTGGTCCTCGAGCATTTCCAACAATAAATTTTGACAATGTTACAAGTCTTGTCAAATTGCTGATTTCTGATGGGAACTCTTTTAAAGACTTTGTCTCAACTAAATCAAGATGTTGGAGATCAAGTAGATTCCCGATTGTGGCAGGCAAATTGGAAAGCTCGTAGCATTCCCTTAACAACAATGTTTGTAAGTAAAGAAGATAACCCACTAACTCAGGAAGACTTTTAATATTTGTCTTAGACAAATTAATGAATCGAAGATGCTTCAAGTCTCCAATCTGATCAGAGAGCTTCGTTATCGTATATTTCTGAAGAGACAACACCCTTAAACATTTTAGATCTTTCATCAAATCTTGCAAGAGTGTGTTGGATAAGTACCCTCCCACCAACTTGAACTCCCTCAGTCGTAGAAATGTACGTAAATTCTTCTTTTCCTTCAGAAATTCAAATCTTTTTGACACTTCAGAGCAAGAAGGAAATAATGACAAATGACGGACTCTTTGAAACCTTGTATCTGATATATCTCCATCTGATTCAAGGGTGTAGCATATATCTCCAGCAACATGCAAGGCTAAATCAACCATCAAGTCATGCATCACAAACAACGACTCATTCCTACTGGACCGTTGAAAAAAAGCCCTCGACACTAGCTCACGAAAGGACTGATGATGAAGGCCTTTCATTTTCTTCATTGTCTGTGGTTGTTGTTGCAAGAATCCTTCTGCCATCCATAATAAAACCAACTCACCTTCATCAAATTCATAATCTTTAGGAAACATAGAACAATAGGCAAAACATCTCTTCAAATGGGAAGGAAGGTGATTATAGCTCAATTTCAGAGCAGGAAGAATGCGAATGCTAGTATTACCATCTGGTAGACCCCATATCTCACTGTTCAATATGTTTTCCCACTCAGCAAGATCTGCCTTACCACGCAAGAGGCCACCAAGGGCTTTTATAGCCAATGGCAATCTTTTACATTTTTCAACAATTTTCCCCCCTACTCTTTTAAGATTTGGATATTCATCAAAGTTTTCTGCCCCCAATGAAATTTGAGCAAATAGTGACAAACAAGCATCATCCTCTAGCAACGACAAATGACAAACTCCATCATTTCCTCTTATCATCTTCCCAATATTCTCAATACGAGTTGTGATGATTATTTTGCTTCCTGGTGCTCCTGCTAGGAAAGGCCTTTGTAAGTTCTCCCATAATTCATAGTCTTCATTCCAAATATCATCTAGCACAAGTAAGAACTTTTGACCTGAGAGCTTAGTTTGCAACCTCTCTTGGAGTGGAGTTAGCTCGTTTGAAACAAAATTTTCCC